GTGCTCCCTCCCAGCTTCTTGTGCCCCTCCTGGCTGGCAGAGCATGGGAAACTGAAACGTCCTTGACTTAGAGTAAGCACTGCTCAGCAACAGCTAAAACATCAGTGTGTTGTCAACTCTCACACTAAATCTGGAAGAGCTGTACTTCCAAGACAAGACTCACCTTTGCACAAGTGGTTTGATCTCCACCATCATCCTTTGCCTCTGCTCTCCCATCTTTCTCATTTGTTTTATTACTGACAGAACACTACCAAAGTATTTCTTCCTCCAACTTTTGACATTTCATTGCTCCTAATGAGTGTTCCCTTCTGCCAAAAATAACCTTTTCTCTCCCCCCTGTTATTTTTACTCACTGTTGCTCCTGTTAAAACATGGGCTGAACGCAAATCTTCATCCGGCCCTTTTTCTGGGAAGGTTGCAGGGAAAATCTCTGCTGTTTTAATGTTCACAGCTGGTAGGAAATAGAGTTTAAATACAGAAACAATTAATTCTTACAAAACACTTGTTTAAAATGACCATGTCCCCAACACGACTATGTTGCAGGAACTTTAGAACCCATCCAATACTATTCTTGTATTTCTCCATGCCACAGACTCTTTAGCCTGGGATGGCATATTTCTACTTATTTTGCTTTGGCAGCATTTCAATATTCCCAAAGAACATTTTCAGAGATACTTAAACTAATTAGAAAAAACACAGAATGAACAATGAAAAGAAGGTTGAATTCTAACCGCAAAGGTTAGTACCATAGCTTGATATTGACAAAATCGTAAATACAGTGAAATGAAAAAAAAAAACTGCCTGCATTTGTACACAGCCACTTCCATGTGTGCATCTACCTAACTGTGGTACCAAGAGAAAACTTCTACCTACACCTCCAACAGCAGCACTTAACTTTTAGGAAGGGCTTTACTTAGTCATTAAAAGCAGCCCATTTACTATTGGAATCCAAAAAGCAATCCAGTTACAAAAATACAACTGAATTTCAATTTAACTCACCTATTCCATAAATGATTGGAAAGTGAATAGCCTCCTCTTCTCTGTCATTTAGTTCTGCAAGAAAAAAAAAAGTCAAACTCTTAGGGCTTTGGATTTTCCTCTGAGCAGCATTTGTTTAGTTGTGTGTTATCAGAGAAGAACAGATCTGATGCTGCATAAAGACAGAAAAAAACCAAGGAAGCCTAAAAGAACGAAAGACAGAAAAGAAGGTACAGGTCAATACCACCACACTTGGGGCCTGGGGTAGAACTCATCTCCTAACAGCATGGCCAGCTCCAGCCAACCATCACTCTGCTTTCTGCACGGGCAATTTACAGGAGAAAAAGGCCACCATGCAAAACTACCATGATGCCAAGTTTCAAAGGTCTAAGTCACCAACAGCGTTGAAACACAAAGATGATGGAAATATGACCTAAATGTGATATGAAGAGAAGGAAATTACTTCTTCCTTTATGTGACATCACACACTATGAACTAACTGAATGAGTTTATGAATTCATTCGAACCCGCACGGAGGCAGGTCCAACAGACCGGCCGGTCAAAGGTCTGTAAGTGCCTTTCTCAGTCACCTCTTAAGGCATCCACAGGTACACAGCCTCCTTCCGCAGGAGCAAGGGAGCAAAACAACCTGGTGGTGAACGAGGGCGGTTCTACCGTCAGCTGCACTTCAGCAGCACTTGCTAAGGAGAGAATCCTGGCTGCATTGCCTATTTGACACCACCACACACACCACCAGCAATAAAACTAAAATTTACAAATAGTTATGGAGGACTTGTGCTGTGCTTTCAGGACAGATGAAAAAAGCCATGTGTGAAAAGACCCCTGCACTTCGATTTCAGTGGCTAAAGATACTTCAAAAACCAAGGTAAAATTTTCTTACCTGTTACACAGAAAGTCACTAAATGAACGTCATCTGGCTGGAGATCGAATGCTCCTACAGCAACAATGATAGCAGCAATGTATAAGACTGACAGGTGGCAAAGCAGGTGCTGTATATAGACGAGGGGGCATTCATTAGCAGTGCTGCGCACTGCAGAATAGATGGGCAGAGATACCTAACGCACTGTTCCTAGATAAGGCAACAGAGCAAAGAGTGTTTTGCAGATTTGCTTCAAATTAACTTTCATGAAGTTAAAGCCACAGTTACTAGACATAACAGTTATTTACAGAGAGTAGCCATTTGTAACAGCAAAAACATGCTAAAAAAAGTGTTGTGCTACTCTTTTTACTGACACTGGTATAGCTCCGGCATCACATCATCTCTGCTTTAGTTCGCTATACATTTAACAGCTTATATT